GTCTGTGCCATTTCCTCATGAACCATGCCGCCCCGTCCTCGATCTTGTCGTACCACGCCTCCTGGTCCTTGGCGCTCTCTTTCCATCTCCCCCCCTCCTTCTCCTCTTTCATGCCAAACGTTTGCTCTCCTGCCCGCCCCGGTATCCGGTACCCCCCGCCATGCTCCCAGCAGCATGCGCTTGGGGAGGCGTTTGTCCTCCATGCGCATAGGTGTACCTCTTCGGGCTCTTGGACACCTTTTTCTCGTTCTACGTGTGCGTGTTCTTTAGATCCTCAGATGGCTCTAGCACTTTCGTGACCACGGGCTGAGAGTCTTTGCTAGTTTTTGGCATTTAGCAATTGACATACGGTTTAATGTGAAGACAACAACAACAACAACAACAACAACAAGCTGCGAAACATTGCCGGCATCGATGGAGATCGGCGTCTTGTTGGTGGTTTATCTTGAAGACCTAAGTTGTTTCCCCTGAGGCCGGGGGAGACCGGTCTATGCCCCCACGCCACCGCTCAAGATTTTTGTATCTCCCTTTTCCCCTGCGCAAACACGCTCCCATTCCTTCCAAAGAAATCGACGCGAAGATCTGCGAAGGTCGTCCGTCGTGTTGAAACCTATATGTTGCCCCTGCCTTTCTTGCAGAGCGATTATGTATGCATGTCGCCCTTAGCATTGATTTTTCGTTTTGACGAATTGCCTTCATCCGCCTCTCCCCCGGTGTTTTGTTTGCCATCGGGGTTGGGTTTTCGTCGCTTGGCAACGACGTTGTAAAACAAGCCAAAGGACGCCAACAACGAGATGATCCACGTGGCGACGGTGATCGGACCCAAGGAGGACACATCCCTCTACAAGACATTGCTGCGCAACTGCAAGAAGAACCCGGAGATGAGGGACCTGCTGGAAGACTCGAAGACAACCTTCTTCACGGACCAGCACAAGGGGGCGACCTGTGCGCTGCGGGGAGAGGCCCCGCTGGCGCAGCACCGGTACTGCTTGAGGCACCTCATCCTGAACTTAGAGGAGAAGATTGGCAGCGTGAGNACCCGGAGATGAGGGACCTGCTGGAAGACTCGAAGACAACCTTCTTCACGGACCAGCACAAGGGGGCGACCTGTGCGCTGCGGGGAGAGGCCCCGCTGGCGCAGTACCGGTACTGCTTGGGGCACCTCATCCTGAACTTAGAGGAGAAGATTGGCAGCGTGAGGAAAAGTATGATGTCATGTGTTCGAGGCGTTGTTGACGAGTGGGGGATGGCTGGGATGTGTGTTAAGAAGCGGGGGGTGGGTGTCTGTGATATACATTATCAGGCAGTTCGTAGGTGTCGTCAGATGTGAGATTTGGTATTGTCTTGGTTAATCCCTTGCCTTCTCAAAAACCCGGTACGAGTGGTTGGGGTTCGGGGCGGTGTTCTTGAAGCGCTCGCTGAGCTGTTTTCCTCCCCTTTCTTTCTCCCCCCCCAAAAAAATAAATAAACCCGGACAGAGTGTAGCATGTACGTGCTGCTGGGATATCTGAACCCTACGGATCGACAGCAGTCACTGTGAGATTAGGCGATTGGGAAAAAAGGATACTCAGGCGCCCCCCCCCCC